GTTGGATTTTGCCCAAAAGGGCTGTCTGGCAACTTCGAGTGGGTGGAGAAGATCCCAACTGCTTGATGTTGTGGTGTCAACAGTTTTTAGGCGGTGGGTTCCTATCAGCAAGGCAGCTGTGTCACCAGAGAGATTTGTGACACCCATTGCTTTTCTGGGTTGCGTGGCAGGAGGTGAAAACAGGGCTGTGCTTTCGCTCCATCCTCATCAGAAACGAACTGCTCCCAGGAACGCTAGCCCTGAATAAAACGTAGTTTGCTAAGGCACACCAAATGTAGCCGCGGCGCAAGAGCAGAGAAAGGGGAGCCGACCTGGGCTATGGCAGATTCAGGCCCCAATGTGGTCAGTAGAGGACCAGCTCTTGGGCTTGCTGGTGATCCCTAACAAAGCAAAACCCTCTTAAAAAAGAGCATTGGGGATTTCTTAGTTCTCAGTGGTGTGGTGCCTAGCTGCTTAACCAGCTAAATCTAATAGGAAGAGGCAGACAGCAGCTTTTGATTTCGCCACTTATATTTTAAAACAAGACAAATGTTTCTTTCAAGTCATTTTGCTGTAAATAAGTGGTTTCCTTTTCCTGTGTTCTGTCCAAGTGTATGCCCCAACCTGATCATGCATGAAGGACACGTTGATTTTTGCAGACTTGCAGTACTGGCTGAATACTCTGCATACAAAAACCTTTGTTAATCTTCAAAGTGGAACTGCCGTGTCCTGAGCTTCTGTGTTTCTGGTGGATTTACGTGTATCAGGTTAACGAGCTTCTCTGCAGACAGATTTTAAAGAACTTTTTTTTCTGATGGTTGTGTGTCACTTCCTGGTGTGAAACTAGCATGTGGCGACACTGCATCAGCCGCCTTCAGTGATACAGTTGCAGCTGTGGCATAATACCTACAAGCATAAGCAAATATTTACCCTGTTTAACTTCTTGTAGAAAGTTTTATTTGGGAAATGATGTGGGGGTTTACGCGTGCAGGCACACAAGTACGTAAGAGTTTTCATATAGACTTGTTCTAATTATTCTGATCGATGATTTTCTGTTACATGTTCCTGTTTGCTGAATGTTTTATTAGGAATGCATCTGATAAAACCACTTGTATTAAAACCGCATGATAAAAATGCATGATAATAAGGGTTTTTTTTCCCATTTAAATTGCAGCTGTCATGGTTTGTGGTACTGTCAATCTGTCATCTTTAATTTAGTCCACGTGACAGGAACAGCCACGTTGAGTGCCTGCTTCTTGTGGTTTGTAGCAAATGGCACAAATACCGGAAGGTTGAAGATAGGCATCCGTTTAACTTAAAGCCTTATCTAAAGGTGTATTTTTCAGGCAGTTTAGAAATGTCTCCAGCCTTCAGCTGCTTCATCCCACTTTCATGTTAGAGGAAGGGAGAGTTAGCCTGGTGCAAGAGTGGTGTCTTTCCAGCTAGTGAGTTACCTGCAGAGCAAAGAGCTGCAGGATTCTGGGCACGCCGGGCACAGCCGGCTCCTTCTGGCATCTCATAACCCTTGGGCCCCTTACTCATCAAAATTACTTGTCAGAAATTGCTCGAATGGGATTGTAATTCTGAATTTTAAATTTTTTTTTTGTTACTTTTATTAATTGGTGGCTTAAGGGGTTGCATCTCCCAGCACTTGTGCTGCCAGCCCCATGCCAGCTGAATGCATCATTTGACCTCTGTCTCCTGGCCCTTCCTTTCCTCTGTGCTCCTGTAAAAGTCATGAAGGTGTACAAACCAGAGGACTTCTTTAAAATGTTTGGGTATATAGTGAGGTTTGAGGCTTTCCTTCTATTTATTTGGCTTGGGTGGTTTTTTTTTACTGGTTTGCGAAATACCTCCTTTAGGCACACCTCAGTCATGTCACCTCACTCTTATTTAGATAACTTTTTTGATCTTGAGGAGTAGGTGGTTTTTCAAAAAAGAGAATTGTAGGTTTCGTTACATTTGTGTGTAAGGGAAAGACCAAACATCAAAGGACTGAAAAAGCATCTCATTGGGGTTGTGTTCAGGGATCTTTCAGATACAAATTCCTGACAATGCGTGGGTTACTTGGTTAGTGTTGCAAAAAATCTCTCTTTAATTTTTGGTATGATCCTTGGAAAGAGTTTCTTGCCGTAAAATTCTTCATAAACAAGTTTCACCAGCCAAGCTATAACGTGCAGAGTGTGATACCAATAGCTCTGTCTTCTTTAGGCTAGAAATGTGTGTAAACACAGAATTTGTCTCTTATGGTGTGAATTTACTCAGGTGCTCCTTTTCCTTGAGGACTCTGCTTCCCCTTCCTGCTTTTCCCTGCTGTAGATCAGGCTGTTCAGGTTGTAGTGTTTTGAGTACCTTGATCTCTCTGAGTTTTTAGCCTTTTTCTTTCACTTATTGTGAGATCGGTAAGCATGTGTGGCTGTGCATTTTCTGGCAGCTCTCTCCTTGCCTGAGTGCAGGTATAATTCTGAATAAATGCATGCCTCGAACCCTTGATTCTTATAAGTGTTCATCTTTGTGCCTATTAAGTCAAAAGATGTTTTGCCAGTTCAACTGGATAAAGCTGGGCTTACCTGACAAATGGAAAAGAATGTCTGTCTTTTTTTGGGAACCTCCCACTGCCTGTAAAAGCAACTTTCTGCAGCTCCTCCGAGTTCTTGGCTGTAGAGCTATGACAGCTGTAGTCAGTGCTTGAGTTTATCTGACCCAGGATTAAGAAAGAGTATGGTAACAAATGAAGAAGAAATGGTATGTTGCTTGTTGAGAAGGAATTGTTTAGTTTTCCCAGTGAAGACCGTAAGCCCTGTGGTAGTTCGAAGCGCAGGCTGTGCTGGCCTTCCACATCTTGTGCAGAGGGTCCTCTCTGAAGGGAGCTGAGGTGCTGGATGAAGTTGGTTACACGACATATTCAGAAATCCGAACAGTTACTTTTTCAAGCTATGTTCTGTTTTCAGAAAAGCTCTTAACTTCCTTGTCTGTGAGGAGGAGGAGGAAGCAGGGCTGCCCCAGTGACACTGTGTGCTGCAGCTTGGCTCCCGGTTAAGAGGACCCCGAGGTCAGTGGAATTAAGGGCTTTTGGGGCAACCAATTACCCTTAATGAAGATGATAGGATAAAAGCTCCAGAATCGCTTCTGAGGGCCTTGTCCTGCCAGTGCTTATGTTCTTTTAACAGACGACTAGCTCCACTGTGCCAAAAGACGAGCAGGTCTTGTCTTGGAAGGAGGAGTTGTTCTGTTTTATGTGCTTTTGAAAACCTCATCCAAGTCCTGCAGTTACACTGCTTACAGCTGTTGAAGAAATTGCCTCTCCTTTGCTGTGGCTGGTGGGTGCATTGTTGTGCATTTTTGCCCGGTTTTGTGCAGTTTTGGGAAGGGTTGTGGATTATTGCTCCGCTACGCAGTCAAAGCTTTCTCTTCCTGGCTGTAGACCTGGGTCACTACCAGACAGTGATACAGGCAGCGTGCTGCCAACGTGAACTGTCATGTGGAAACGAGAACTGTAGACTGACCCTTCTGTTTGGCCAGCTTCTCTTTACTGTATGTTTCTTCCCTTTTAGCTTCTGGGTTTGTTGTCATGTCTCTGCCTAAAAAGGCTAAGCATCCTTCAGGATGCAGCTTCTGCTCAGAGTAGGGAAGGCAAGGTACTCTCCGAGTTGAAGGCCAGGTGCCATTTACACTTCTCCAACTTGTTGTGTTGCTGAAGACCCATACTGTCCAACTGTGTATGGGTATGGCTTCCGCACTCCTGTGTCTGAGCAACAGTAACGTGGAATACTTGTTACAGATTTTATTTTAAAAGCTTGTTACAATCTCTTTATCTTTTTTTTTCATAATTTATTACGGTGCCAATCAGTATACAAAATCCTTTGCTGCTGTAAAGGCTGTGTAGGGTCTTGCTACTTTATGTCAGTGGCAGTTTTGGTCATCTGTACTTCAGTTTGCTTGAACCCGGTACATAAATGCTGTGTGTGATGTTCTCTGCTGCCAAGGCAGTTTTCTCTCATCTCTGGAATATCTACGTATTCTGTCATATTATACACATAGCACTGCTTTCGCTAGAGAGGTGCTTTGGGGTGGTTGTGCATTAAAAAAAAAAATTAAAAAGAAAGAAAAAGCTCTTTGACATACTTATGTAAACTTTGGCAGATACAATTTAAAAATAAATATTGGATCAGTTCCGCTTTTATTTCCCTTGTCAACGCCTGAGTTCAATATTTGGCCCTGGAAGAGCTGTGAATGGCTTAATTAACAGCCAAAGCAGAGCTCTGGGAGGCAGGTGTTTGGATTGTGTAGGAGTTTGCTGATAAGAGTCTTTATTAGAGGGGAAACACAAGGCTTTGATATATGCTATTGGCAGATAAAGGTTTTCAGGTTCCTTTTTTTGCAATGTGTTAGGGTGTACAGAGAATTTGAAGGTGCACGTTCATATTACATTATTTGTAGTTTTTTTCCTGTGTATTTTAGAAATACAATTGCTTCAGCTACAATTTTGATTTGCTTCCTTTAAAATCAAACAAAAACTTGAGGCTTCTGTCCCTAGAATCTTGCCATCGACTTTTTTCATGTCTTGCTTGTGTCTCCAGCTTTGTTTATATGTTGTTCGTATCTTGAAGCCCAGTAGAGCTGGGTTTTTTTTGTGATACAGTGGGTATATGAGAGAGATCTAGTTAGATGATATGGGTATAATAAAAGTGCAATGCTCCTTTTTCCTCGTCAGCTACGTGTATAATATGGCTGGGTTATGCAGTTTGCACAGTGATCATTGATCAAGTGTTAACACCCTCCTCTTGTCATAAAACTCCAAAGTCGAGGAAGGCATGGTAGTCTTTCCTAGGCTTCTTTTTATTTGAATAAGATAAACCCCTTATTATCAGAGACTGCTTTGATCTAGTGTGCACAAACTAAATATGTTCTTTGCTTTGGGGAAATATAAATAAAGAGGGAAGCTGCCCTGAACAGCTGTGTGAGTTAACCTAAAGTAGGTTACTTTGTGGTGCGCAGGAAGGTTTCCAAGTTATACATAGATGCAAAGGTAATGAGCTTATTCTAACATGAATTAATGTATATGTATCCTGTATAACTATGTCAGCACATTTAATGGGTGAATTTTTAAGGGTTTTCCTAATGGCGCATTCTTGAAATGCTAAATCTTAGCACTGAGTAAACTAGTAATACTTTCTTTTTTTTTTTCCCCTCTTTGAATAGAGATCCTCGACCAACCAACCAACGCGTCAACAAACACGTAAATAATGACACCTATCTTCGGGTTCAAAACCTGACCATCTTAGTCAGAAACATTAAGACTTACTATCAGGTGAGATTTCTGCTCTTTGCTCATTGATCTGTGGTGATTGCTATAATGTTCCAGCTAGTGCAGGAGCTGGTGTCTCAAAAAGCAGGTTGCTACAGGAAATGGAGAGGAAATTGTGTTTGTGTCAAAGTACTTTCAGCCATGCTATCCTTATGAAACGACAATACGGTTACCTTCTCTCTGGCCAGAGGCTGCTTCCCTGCGCTTCCCCCCCCACCTTTCTTTTTTTAAAGCAGAAATTGTGCTGGCAGGCTGTGCCCTTGGAGATACATGTAGTAGAAAGGCTCTTTTATGGTGGGGATTGTGGGGTGTGTGTATGTGGAGGGGTTTGCTGAAATTGGAATAATGTTCTTGGGTATAAAACTTGTTTAAAACAAGTAACCTCTTAAAGGGGCTGCCAGCAAATAAATCGTTATGAAAAAGTGTCTTTAATGCTAGAATATAAACCTCAAATTGATATACTGTTAATTAGGAAAAATAAATTTCTGCTTATCTTGAAGGTGGACTTCTTATGCTGTGTACCTGTTCTTAGGTGTTAAAGTAGTTGTTTGTTCTGAACTGCCTGTGTAAGAGGCTTAAGCACAGGAATGACTGCAAATTCTCACAAATAGTGCACTTCTGTGACATCCTTGAGCTGACAGTCTGTGTTCCTCCGCTGTAACAGTGCTTCTCTAAAACCACGGTGGTGACAGCTGAGCACTTTTGTGGACTTAGGTACGTGTTGGATGCTGCTACTCTAAATAGAATTTCTGTATACACACTGTTGTGTATATTTAGACCTCTTAGTGAGAGGGGGTAACTGTTCTACTGTTTCCTTTTACACATCTTTTGCCAGATTTGAGTGCTGTGCAATATAAACCAGTCTGAAAGCACTGAGGACCGTTGAAATGTTCTGCAAACATGTCCCAATCGTATAATGCACAAAACAATGAAACTGTAGGAGCTGATGTCAGTGTGCTCATCCTGGACTTCATCTCTTCATCTTTTCTGTATGTGTAGAAGAGACTCTGTATTGGCTTTTGTCTTCAAAATACAGAAGAGATGTAATGCTTAGCTACAGTAGTGCCTTTGATGCTGTTCTCTTTCAGAGCTTCCCTACTGCTGTTCCTTGTTATTGCCACTCCTTTGCTTCTGAACTTGCTTAGGGAAGCCTAAAAGAGAGAGGGACTTGAGAAAAAGTCAGATGGGGTGGATGACACATCTGCGCAAGTTCCAGTGGCCTGCTAGAAAAATTGTGTAACTCAGGTTTGAGATAATGTAGGAGGATATTATGTATTTCTGAAGACAGCTGACCTGTGTCTTCATTGTTGAGAGGTGGAGATACTGATGCAATATGATGTCAGTCCTGAGACTTGTGATTTCTAAGGGGAAATTCCATTTGGTCATAACTACAGGCTGCAGATTTTTTTGTGTTATGTTTTTTGTTTGTTTGGTTCTCTGTTACCCACTGAACAGTGTAAATGTCTATGGATTCTACAAGGAAGAAAAGCCATGTTTAAGGACAGGGACAGGACTAGTCTTTCTCCTTTTCTCCTCACTCCCACAAGATTTACAATCTGAGAGCCTGGTTCTTCAGATGTTGAAACTCTTAAAGCTTTTTATTCATGTGAATTCTTTTTCTTAGAGCTGATAATCTGACCTCTTTTAAAAAAGTACCTGAAGAGAGATCAGATTCAGGAAAAAAGAAAAGTGATTCAGAATCATGTGATATGTTGCTTGGTGTCTTGTTGACCTAGCTGTTGAGCTCTGTAATCATAATCCAATAAAGCTAGCAACAGCTAAAATAGGTTAAGGCACAGAGTTTTCAATGGGAAACAGTGGTTGAGACTTGCAGTAGCAGGCATAACAGTGATGTTCCTGTTCTAGTCCAGAAACTAAGCGCTATGAATCTTGCTGCCTGAAGACTATATATACTGTATGTAAACAAAGCAGTCATGAGAGCTGATTGTTCTTTGCATTTTGTCCTGATAATGTCCAATTACAACAAAGCTTAAAATAAAACCACTTTCTTTTTTTTGTGATTCTAACATTATATAAGAAACTTATTTGTCCTTGTCACAATCACATCTTCAGGGCAAATCCAAGGTCTCCGTGCTAATCTGATATTCCCTTTCATGTGGTGATGTGCGGCCTTCAACTCTCTGTAGTCTGGGAGGAGTTAAGGCCACCTATCATAGAATCATTATGGCTGGAAAAGACCTTTGAGATCACCAAGTCCAGCTCTTATCTGACTCTACCAGGCCCACTTCTAAACCATGTCCCTGAGCACCATATCTAGATGGCTTTTAAATACACCCAAGGAGGGCGATTCAGCCACTTCCCTGGACATCCTGTTCCAGTCTTTGATAACCCTTTCAGTGTAGAAGTTTTTCCTAATGTCTAACCTAAACTTGACACTGTTTCCTTTTGTCCTATTGGCTGTAACTTGTGAGAAGAGACCAACGCGCACCTCTCTACAACCTCCTTTCAGGTAGTTGTAGAGAGTGATAAGTCTTCCCTCAGCCTCCTTCAGACTAAACAACCCGAAGTCCCTCAGACACTCCTCATAAGACTTATTCTCAAGACCCTTCACCAGCTTTGTTGCCCTTCTCTGGATGCTCTCCGGTACCAAAATGTCCATCTTACACTGTGGCACACAGAATTGAACACAGTACTAAAGGTGTGGCCTCACCAGTCCGGAGTACAGTGGGACAATTGCCTATGCTGTAACTTAGCTCTGTGTGTGATTGATGCCAAGTGTAATGCCATGTCTGTACTAATGTCTCTGTTAGATATTTGGAGGGTTTCTTGTGTTTTAGGGTCCGATATAAGTAGTTTTTACTAGTTTTTTTTCAACATGCAACCAAAGGAATGCTTTGGAATATATTAAATATTATTAGGCCTCTTCTCTCCTGAATGTTAGGGATTTTAAGTAGGTTGAAGTTGTGGGCATTATTTGATGGAGTAGTGTTAATACATTAGCTTAAGTTAAAATGAGGGTAGTGTCTTAATGACTTAAAACATATGATCAAATTTGGTTGCAGACTGGAAGTGGGAGGGAAAAGCTCCTGCCAAACAATAGGAACATGAATTTGCTGCTTCCTCAAGAGAAACAAAAGCTCTAAAAATATGGTGTTGGCCTTGACATTTTACATTCCCTTTCACTTAATGGACCCAAGTCAAGTTCATGGCTTATTTACTGATTTTGGTAGACCAGGTCTCCTAGGACAAGGAAAATGCCACCTTGTGCTTTATTTAAGGACATTGGTAGGTATGAAAGAATACTTGCCCCTTTCTGCACTGGGCAGGAGTGATCAGGAATGTGACATGAATTCATGGTACTGTAAACTGTATCTATCTGGGGAAGGTGACATAAGTGGCTACTAAAATTAACTCTGATACTTAGAAGCTAGTTGACATTTCAGATCATATAATTGTATAGTGTATCTGTATCTCATATCTGATTTCTCATATATTTGTATAGCTAATCTCTTTGTTAAAGGAAAATTCTCATTCGTACAGGTAATATTACTTGAGAAAACAAGGACAGGTCTAACAGAGAGCATGAATCCAGGTATTCTCCACAATGCTGGGGCTTTCCTGATCTCTTAGGCTGAGGGTCTGTGCTGGGAAGGAGTATGAACGAACGAGGTTATTGTGGTAATTTGGCTTTGGTCTGAGCCATGAAGATGAGCTCCTGTCTGTGCTTCAGCAGGCATAACTTGGGAGGGATAAATACAATGAAGAAACTTTTATCCAGTTCAAATAACCTCTCATATTTGGAAGTTTGCTAACTGAATTTGTTCATGACTTTCTGAAGAGTTGCCTTCCCACAACTTTTAGCTGCGTAAAACTAGATTGCGGATGGCTACTAGGAAAAACATAGTGTCAAAACTCTTAAAATGGGGGACAACATTGGTTGCTGCAGGTTTTGGTGGGTTTTTTTTTAGTAGTTGGGTATGTAGTATTTGTTACTGGTGGTAGGAGGCAACATCTCTGCATTTCGCACTATCTGAGCAGTTGCACCTTTGCAGATCTGTTACTAGCCCCTCTTTTGAAACCAGGCAAATGACTCATTTTGCTGTGGGATTTCACGAGTGTTTAAGAAAATCTGTCGTTAATTGCATTTAATAACTCTCATGGCACTGGCTCACTGGAGAAACAGCTGGTCATAAAACTTCTGGAATTGGTGCCATGTCTTGGAAAAGGGCTGAGCTCGGCAGAATGTGTTCATTGCTCATAGTGTGAGTTTTATGTGTCTCTTCTTGCTCTGACTGAATTAAGACACTTGGCTCTCTTTAAACTGGAATTCAAAATGGTTTTGTAAGGAATTTGTAAGTTTAGCACAGAGAATTACAGGTTACCGTCTGTAACTGCAGTGAGGACGTTGATTAAAGGGGTCAATAGAGAATTGAGTGTCTTGGAGAAGAGATGCCCACCCGCTTCTCACTGATGCAGGTGTTGTGCATCCTGTCCAAAGGGTGAAGTCTGTACCGCATACTACAGCTAACCAGTGTATGCGGAACAGATGGACCTCCAGCTGTTGTCTGCTGACTTGTGTTGATAACATCGTTGGGAATGCTGGTCCTTAAGCCAACGCTGGCTAGCCCAGTGCAACACAGATGAAATTATCTTGCTATTCCTGAGCTCTGCCTTCACTTTGAAATGCTTCTGTTGTGAGCTCCACTAAGGATTATCTACTGGTCCAATTAAATTGGCTCGGAAATAGCTCAGGTGAGTGAGTACTGCAAGACTGAAGGATGTTTGACTTCATGGAAATAAGCACTCTTGACCCTTGTTGACAGTGAGTTGTTACGGCCTTAATTCCCCAGGGCCTTCTGCTTCTTTTCCAAATGGTGATTGATCCCAGCTGCGGAAACTGTCTTCATAGTGGTGTGGCACTAGCCCTGTTTCTGGCAGAGTTTGTTGGCAATTTAAAAAACAAACAAACAACAACAAAAAGGGAACAAAAACCCCCTTAAGCTGCAACACACTGTGCAAGAACTGTTACTGTTGCTGCTTCT